ATGAACAAATTTCGCAGGGTTGAGACTAATGATGGGGAAGAATACTTTGTATTCAATAAGCCTGCTGAGAGTAAGAATGCCAACAAACCATCACTTGTTACGAAAAACTCCTCTCGAAACATAAGTACATCTGGAGGTGTTCCGCATGCTCCACCTTATAGAAAGTCAGGCTCCAAGACTCCTAAAGTCTTGCAGCCAAAGCACCTTCCTTCACAATTCCCTTTAAGTTATAAAAACAACCCGAAGGTGTATACCGGTATGACGAATAGCAGTTGGATGGGTAGACCTTCTGATGCTATGCCTTTTAACCGTCAACCTAGGCCCAACCTGTACTACCCTTATATCCAGGAACACATGGTAAATTTTCCAGGTGTCCTGAATCACTGGTACGACCCATGGCACCTAGGACCACCTCATTGCACACCAACTCCGATGTGCAGACACCCAGTCCGACCTCCTTTTCATTCATAAATTCTTGCGGTGCTGACGCACAAATAGATTTAGGTTATGGTGACATTTTAAGCCAGTTTGTAGTATCCCGTGACTTATTCACGATATTGCTAATTAATGCACGCTCCTTAATCAATAAGATATCTGAACTAAGGACATTATTATTAGTCGCCAAGCCTACTGTAGCTCTGATTACTGAGTCATGGTGCTCATCCTCAGTACTTGATGTGCATATAGGTATCGATGATTACACTGTACACCGTGCAAACAGAGATTGCAAGCGTGGTGGAGGATGTCTCATATATATACATAACTCATTTGTAGTCAGTAAGGTGGAAGATGAAACAATGAATAATGTACCTGACTCACTCTGGGTTGTCTTACATGGAGATAAGTACAAACTTCTCATAGGCTGTGTTTATCGAGCACCAAGCTCAACAAAAGAAACTGATGCGTTATTAGCTAAATCGTTTGCACACGCATCCTCGTTTAGTGCTAATTACAAAATAATTGCAGGGGACTTCAATCTTCCAGAAGTCAATTGGCTAACTAGTTCCGGCCCCCAACGCTTCGACGAATTACTTGCCACTATAGACTGTTATGGATGGCAACAACACGTCCAGACACCTACTCGTGGGGACAACATTTGGACCTTGTTTTTTGTCATGACACAATCCCAGTATCCACTATGTTGGTAATAGATTTTCCAGTAGTGACCATAGAATGGTACTCTGCTCTCTGCCTTTCTCACCACTAAATACAGGAAACAAACAAGACTCAGGAAGCACAATATGTCGTAGTTACAAATATACAGACTGGGGATTAGTCCAAGAACTTATTCGACTCTGTCAATGGGATGACTATTTTACCACTGACTCCCTGGAGGCCTTAGTAACCCTGTTTTACAGGAATGTTACCCTTTGTCTAGATACAGTTGCCCCAAATAAAATAGTGAAATTAAGTAGACACCGAACTGAATATATTCCAAGGGCACACCGTAATAAGTTAAGGAAACTGAAGAAACAGTACTATTCCACTAAGGACATATCACTATTGCTCTCAATCCACGAGTCTCTTGAATCTATCAAGCGCCTACGTTCTCAAAAGGACCTCGACGAAGAGTTAACGGCACTTGAAAGTACCTCCAAAGTTTATAACTTAACGGCACTTCTTAAAAAACGAATGCAGTCAGCGAGGGAAATCCCATACTTACTTCACGACAAAGTAATCTACAATGAACCTGCCACTATCTGTGAACTTTCAGTGATTGGTTTGCAAACTTTAGTTTAGAAACACATATGCCTGGTGAAACCGCTCCCCTTACTATCTCTTCCCTTGAAAGCATTGTGTTCACTAATCAACTAATAGTACAAGCAATTAAAAGCCTTAAACCTTCCACTAGTACGGGACCGGATGGCCTCGCTTCGATAATTTTCAAAAACAGTGGGTGTGATATACCCTGTTACTTCTTAAATTCTTCTCAATATCTATGGACACTGGCACTTACCCTAGTGAGTGGAAAACTAGCTTCATAATTCCACATTACAAATCTGGTGATAGGGCAAACGTCCGCAATTACAGACCCATAAATATAACCCCAGTTATCTCACGAATCATGGAGAAAGTTGTAAGGATCAATTGTCAGACTACCTAATTAGGGAGGATCTTGTTACAAGGTCTCAACACGGATTTCTCAAAAATAGATCCTGCGTTACTTGCCACTTCGACTTTTTCAACTGCATCACTAGTAATCGCGAAGCACGTAAGCTAGTCGTTGTTCTATACTTCGATATATCTAGGGCATTTGACATGGTATCTCACAGTATTCTCTTTGAGAAGCTGTACTCTTGTGGAATTCGCAACCCATTACTGAACTGGTTAAAATCATTTCTAAGCAACAGGGTACAAATAACCAAAGTTGGATCTGTATTGTCTCATCCTAGGCAGATCTCAAGTGGGGTCGTGCAAGGTAGTGTCCTAGGTCCACTTTTATTCACAGTTACATTAACAGCATTTGCAAGTGCTTCACCTCAGGTAAACCATTCCTATATGCTGACGACCTCAAAGTCGTCTACTCCTGCTACACTCATGAATTAAGCGATATGGTTACTAAAATACATCTTGAACTAAGTAGCCTTGCAACGTGGTGTGCTGAATCCTGCCTAAATTTTAACATTGACAAATGCGGCTGGATTTGTATCGGCAACAGTAAGCTTGATCTAAACCTTGAAATAAATGGGCGAAAACTAGCTAAGCTCAATTCAGTCGTAGATCTCGGTATTAGATACTCTAGTAACCTAACGTTCGCTGAACAGACTGATTATGCCAGACGTAAAACGCGTAGGCTGATAGGATGCATAACACGCAATTTCTTTTGTTGTGAAACTAGGGTTTTATTATACAAAGTATGTGTCCGACCTATCTTAGAATACTGCCCGTTTATTCTTAGCGGACTAAGACAAAATGACAAGCTTAAATTAGAGGGAGTGCAACGGCAGTTTACCTCAAGAACTCTTGGTTTAGAAAGTAGTCTGGAATACCATGAGAGATGCGTAAGACTAAGATTAGAACCCCTCTGGAAAAGACGCCTTAAGCTAAACCTAATCTTTTACTATAAGCTAACTAATCTTCTCTTGCATTCCTCCGAGCCAATAACTAAACCTACCGCTGTCGTCAGTTACAATCTTAGAAATCATCACAACCTAGCTGCTATAGAGCACTGTCAGACTTACGTGCGGTACAACTTCTTCTTAAATAAGTTTTCAGTCATTTGGAATAGACTACCAGCTAATGTGCGCGATGCAAACACACTTCCAGTGTTCATCTCCTCAGTCACCAGACTGCTCAAAGATGACAATGCACTTTACGTCTGACTCTTACACCTCTTTTTCACCCTACATAGATATTTTAAGTTGTTTAAACGTGTAGTTACAGCAAACTACAATTATAAATTTTAATATTATTGGAACTAGATGATTAACATTTCTACACAGGACAGTAATATTAGTTCACACATAATATAAAAGTTAGCATAACGGGACTAGTTAGTTTGTGTACCAAAATAACCACAGTTACTAAACAGAATATATATGTGTATATTTATTAATCACTCCTTAAGGACTCCCGTTGCTTTCTTTTGCGTTGCTGTTGTTTGTCTTCTTTTTTCTCTCACCATTTCAGCTTCCATTTGACTTTTTGAATGAGAATGAATAATGTGGATATTTGACCATTTACAATGACAAATGATCTGCAAACATTATTGGTCCCGTATCTTTCAGTTGCCTGGTTAATAACGAATTAACTTTCTCCACGACGCAACCTGGATTACATTTGTGGAATATACTCTTATACCAATGGAAAAGTATCAATTTGTAATACAACTTCACGATTGTAGCTTATAACATAACTGATCGTATCTGTAAAAATAGCTTCCTTATTACCCAATTTGGATATAAATCAAATCAAAAATGAGATTCGGATTTGTACACACCCAGGTTATATTGAGGAATTACTTCAAGCTTTATTTTTTCCCAAGTATTTTTAATCCATCCAAAACTTACTTGGGTTTTTTTGTTAATGCGAAGACAATATTCCTATATTTCATGATGTGCTCCATTGAATGACTTGTTATATTGTGGAATAACTTCAAGCTTTATTTTTTCCCAAGTATTTTTAATCCATCCAAAACTTACTTGGGTTTTTTTGTTAATGCGAAGTCAATATTCCTATATTTCATGATGTGCTCCATTGAATGACTGGTTATCATATTGTTCCCACAGACCTAAAAAAATGGCATGCATTTTCATGTAAATTTATATGTTTATATGAGAATATACATTATTATAATTATTATTAAAACAAAAACGCCAGCAACCATGTAACTTAACCATAAACCGAATTTATGAAATTTAATTAATGCTTATCCATGCCTGTATATTTGGTGTGTCCTACACAAGTAGGAAAAAATGTGTACTTTATTAAAACATTATTATTAATTATGATTGCTAATCGTATATGTAATTTATCATATTGATGATGCCTGTAAACTGGCGTCTCTCATGTACAAAATGAGAATATATTATTATTATTATTATTATTATTATGAGGTTTAGGTAACGCCAAAACCTTTGGCAATATACTCTGATTTGCTAACCTACCTGTCATAACTGCGCGTGTGCGCCATTCGATACAACCACTTTTTAACAAGCTGGTTTGGGAACTGTTTTCCCAATGTCAGTTAATGGGAATGTAACTTACCTTCCTTCTGAATGCCTGGCATACATGGAAAAGACACAAAACAATATTGCAACTAGGGAATTCCTCCTTTAGGGCTTTCATCTGTGCAGTTGCACAGTTGACAGTGAATGTTAATGTTTTCAATGTATCCACCATAAATCTCCTAAACGTTTGCAATATCTCCTTGATATCTACAAACATTTCTCTCCTAGTAAGAGCAAACAAAACAGTCCTTCCTCTTCCGAATCCATAAGTCACAACAAACTGATATAAAGGCCATCTGTAACAAATTTGGAAAAGGAATTATACCTTGTTGTACTGAAACTTACCCCATCTTATTCGTTTTGTAAGTACAATCGATTCCAACTACTTCTGGAAACTTATGATACACGTCTATCATATCATTACGAGCAAAAATGATTTTAGATACAAAGCCTGCGTTGTCCTGCAAAACTTTAACTGGACCTGTCTGCCTCAGTCGATGAAGCAGCTCTTCCAAACAACCAATTTCTATTCTACTGCACCATTTATTTTGATAGGACTTACGTTTATTTATCTTAGCCCGCATGTTTTTAATATCGTTATACAGGAGCGCTTTTCCGAACTTCTCATATGCTAGATCCATGATTTCATGGACATCAGTATTCCTTTCAATGAACGGTTGGATAATTGCCATTTCTTGTGATGATAACCGACGTCTAGATACATCGGTGGACATAAAACTTGCTGTGCAGGGATGGTTATTCACAGTTTTGTACTTGGTTATCATGTATACGTTGGATTTCCGCTGGACTAGAATTATTGACTGACATGATGTACTTTTGAACCTTAAAATTTTTAAAATTTGCACACGCAGCCAACTTACCCTCTGTTCCTAAAGCCAGCACCTCGGGGAGCACGATGACTTCCAAAAGTGCATTTAAACTTCACAAACTTGTAGTCATCAGCACCGGATGGATCTTTTTTACTTGAATCAACACTATAGGATGTATTGGATTCCTTTCAAAGAAATAAAGAACAACTTAGTTAGTACCTTCATAAATGTGTCTAAAGCTTCCTTAAATTGTGTCCATGTATAAAATATACAACACAACATTATCCTTTGGAATATAGCTGTTACATCACACAATAAAGATGATACATTTCTTGAAGTAGACGCAGTAGGAGTACTTTGCAACATCATTTAATCGTTTTAACAATTCCTAACGTGCACAACACTATGACTTCAAGTAAATAAACACTAGTATACATTTCAGCGCTTATATACCACTGGCCGTGACCTTGTCAATTTACTTCATTTATGCTGACGTAGTACGCACAATTCCCACAAATCGTTGAAGTGACAACTTAAAAAAGTAGATTAGTTACTACATACATATTTCTACATGTAATAATTCAGGACACATAAAATTTATAGAAATGGTGGTTGAATTATATTTGCCTAGTAACCAAAATGGCATACATCCTATTTTGTACTTAAAATAAATGCATCAAAATGATTGTTGATTTATATTCACTTTCTGGACATTCTCATACATCTCAATATACTTTAAACATCAACAATGCATCCAAATAGCGTGTGACTATCACACTAAACTCACACCAAAAAAATTAACACGCCATTATATTATGGTAAGGTAAGCCCGAAATTTTACTGACTGTAAATTTCCGTGTAGAAATAATGAGATTGGCGCTTTAATTCATATTTTAGACCAATAAAAAGCCAGCTAGCCAACAGCCAATAAAAAACTGCCTATATCTATTTTCCTTTTGAACTTACCTGTCGCGTTCTGCTTCTCATCTCACCCCGTGTGCTTGATATCTGATACTGTCTGTGTTGTTCTATTACAGAACATGGCGAGCCTGCCAGGATCGCGTAAACAAAAGCGCGAAGTGAAGAACTCTGAATCTCCTGCTAATGCCAACGCCTGCGACTCGGAAAATGGTAACAGAGCGCCACCAGTAATGTCCTCAACCTCACCGACAACGTCGACGTCCACGCCTGCGCCAGATATGATTCAAGCAATGGTCGCAGCGTTCAGAATAGCATTGATGACGTCGAATACACTTTCATCGTCCTCCAACAATAAACCCCAAGTTAAATTCCCAGCACCAGAAAAGTTCGTCCCAGGGGAATCATTCACATTGTGGGAGGAGCAGTGCCGTCGATATATACAACAATTTGATGAAAAACAAAGAGCTAGTGCTGTAATCTGTTTACTGTCAATACCCGCGTTGAAACGCCTCAAGCTAGCTGGCGTTGACACAGAAGAGACGATGGAAGTAGAGGAGCTATTTGCAGCGATGCGTCGAGCATTTGCGCCGCATACCCATGTTCTTGGGCAGCGGGCTGCTTTTCACGCATGTGTCCAGCAGAGCGGCGAAAGTACAGAGGAATTCCTCTGGCGACTTCAAGAGTTAGCCCCAGTGGCTTTTGAAGGAGACTCCGCAACCGAAATCAGCTCCCGCATTCTCCACCAATTCGAAGAAGGGCTGTTGCACGACGAAGTACGGGAAAGGGTCATTGAAAGCAACCCTACATCGCCCGTGAAGGCTCTACAGGTTGCCAAACAGAAGGAAGCTCTAATTAAGCTTCGTAAGAATCGGCGACCAACAGACGGACCCTATACTCAATCACAATATCAAGAATCGAGGACGCCTCGTGAGCATCGTACGAAACCACATATTGAGTGGAGGTCCCGATCTTCCCCGAAAGCAAGACAAATTCCACACCAACCACGTCCAAGAGCGGCCTGGATAAACTCTCGCCTCCCAGAAGAGATTGGTGAGTCTCCCTCTTTTTTATCTAATGTCATGCCATTATCAGACGAGCCATATGTAGCTAAGCAACTGCCCACTGTTCTAGTTAAGTTTTATGACAGAACTCTCGTTGGGTTGGTAGACACAGGTGCAGCTCGCACATTGTTGTCCAGCAAATATTGTAATGCTATGGCCAAAACTGCCACACCCCACCTTAACATCCAAACGGCAAATGGGTCTCGTATGAAAGTAGCTGGCGAGCTGTTAGTCTTATGGGAAGGTAAACATGGTCGTATGTGGCATCCGTGTTTGGTAGTTAACGGATTGTCGTGGGATTTAATAATAGGTTATGACCTTCTACGCGGTTGCAACGCGTCAATTGATATTGAATCCCAAAAGCTCACCCTTCTAGGCTCTACATTACTATTTGGAGCAGATATTAATAATACCTGTTTACAGCTGAGTGTGAATGCAATTGATACCGCCCTGATGGAAAGTATGCTAACACAGGTCCCGCGAGAGCACAAAGAGGCGGTACATCGGTTAATGTCCGAGTTTTCGGAGGTCATATCTTGGTCCTCGACTGACCTGGGAAGAACCACAGCTATCCAACATACTATTGAGACCGGTAGTTGTGCTCCAATACGGCAAACACCTCGCCGAGTCCCAGCTAAGTTTCGTCCGCAACTGGAAAGCATGATTGATGAAATGTTACAGAGAAAAATAATTGCGCCGTCGAACTCACCGTGGGCGTCGCCTATAGTGTTAGTTAAGAAGAAAAACGGCACCCTGCGCTTGTGTGTTGATTACAGAAAATTAAACGCAGTGACCCGGAGAGATGCTTACCCATTGCCTAGAATAGATGAGACGTTAGAAGCATTATCAGGTGCCGTCTGGTTTTCCACCCTTGATTTAGCTTCTGGATATTGGCAAGTGGAAGTCCACCCTCGTGATCGGCACAAAACCGCTTTTACTATACCCACCGGGTTATATGAATTCCAGACCATGCCGTTCGGGTTAAGTAATGCACCAGCCACGTTTCAACGACTGATGCACACAGTACTCAAAGGATTAGTCCCACAGGTGTGCCTCGTATATTTAGATGATATTATCGTTTTCAGTCACACCATCGAAGAACACCTTGAGCGACTGCGGATTGTCTTGGAACGTTTGAAGGAGGTGGGACTCAAAGTTCAACCCACTAAATGCCGTTTATTCCGAACCGAAGTCACTTTCTTGGGGCATGTTGTCAGTGCACAGGGCGTTCATAGCGATCCTGAAAAAGTTGCAGCAGTCAAAGAGTGGCCCGTACCTAAATCCGTGAATGAGTTACACAGTTTTCTAGGGTTGGCCTCTTATTACCGCCGGTTCGTGAGAAATTACTCAGAGATCGCTAGCCCCCTAACGAGTTTGACTAAGAAAAATATTCCCTTCGTATGGACAGAGGATTGTGACCGTGCTTTCCAACAGTTGAAAGATTCATTATGCTCGGCGCCCATTTTAGCATTCCCAGATACATCACCAACGGCTGGTAAATACATCTTGGACACGGACGCTAGTCACACATCCATCGGAGCCGTGTTATCTCAGGTCGGTGGGGACGGCAAAGAACATGTTATCGAATATGGCAGCCGCACGCTGAGCCGTGCAGAGAAGAACTACTGCATCACCCGTAAAGAGATGTTGGCCGCTGTTACCTTCGTTCGTAAGTACCGACCCTATCTACTTGGTAAACCGTTTGTTTTGCGAACGGATCACAAAGCTCTTCAGTGGTTGCAAAATTTCAAAGACCCTGAAGGACAGACAGCAAGATGGCAGGAGTACCTTCAAGAGTATGACTTCGAATGTGTACACCGTCCTGGCAAGCAACATGCCAATGCTGACGCGCTATCCAGGCGCTCTTTCAGACCGCACGGAGACTGCCCGTCTTGCGAGAGTATTGATATTTGTGCTATTTCGCTGGCAGGTCTAAGCAGAGAACAGTGGGCACACATCCAAGCTACTGACGATGAGACTGCACTCCTTTATCATGCCCTGTCGAATCAGACTGGTAGGCCAGTTGAAGCTGATGTGAAAGGGAAGAGCTGGGAAACCAGATGTTTGTGGGCCTTATGGGATCAGTTAGTACTAGCGAATGGTATCCTGTGTGTTCAACCCGGCCCCAACTACTTGAGAAGAGTCGTAGTCCCTCAGTCGTTTGTAACAGCAATTCTGGAGACTATACATTATGATTTGGGACACGCTGGAATTAATAAAATGTTGCAAGCAGTTACCCAACGCTACTGGTGGCCTCGCCAACGGCGCGACGTCCGGGACTTTGTCCAAGGGTGTGCAACATGTGGTAAAGTAAAGAATCCACAGAGGAAACCCCGGGCGCCACTTACTAATATGAAGGCTGGATATCCTAACGAAATAATTGGCGTCGACATCATCGGACCTTTACGTGAAACCACACGTGGAAATAAGTATATCTTGGTTATGGTTGATTATTTTACGAAATGGTGTGAAGCTGTACCACTTCAGCGAATTGATGCCCCTACCGTAGCCAAAGCTATATTTGACTGTTGGATTGCCCGTTGGGGCGCACCAGAGCAATTGCACTCTGACCAAGGAACCAACTTCGAAAGTATCGTGGTTAGAGAATTGTGCCATCTATTTGGAATTAAAAAGTCAAGAACCACCGCGTACCACCCCGAAGGCAATGGGTTAGTAGAGCGTACCAATCGAACCCTAAAATCATTACTACGCCTATTCTTAGAGAGGGAGGCTGAATCAGCCTGGGACATCATGTTACCAAGATGCTTGTTGGCCTACCGAGGAAGCACGCACATGTCTACGGGAAAGACACCACACCTGTTATGGACTGGCCGCGAGTTACGCCTGCCTAGTGATACATTGGTTATGCCCCGGTGGGATGATCCGCTAACTACATCGGAAATGGTAATAAGGTTGCGAGGAGACGTCGCCAGGTATCATAGCTATGCACGCGAAGAACTCCAGAGAGCACAAGAACGACAGAAACGTTACTACGATAGAAAGCAGTGGGGAACACCATTCAAAATAGGTGATAAGGTGTGGCTACGTCAACCAGCGACTGACAACTGGAGTCGACGCAAAGCTCAAGCACAATGGGCAGGCCCATACGCGGTGTACCGTAGAGTAACTGACAATACCTACGAAATCCAAGAAGACAACAACAACCCTCAGAAAATGATAGTGCACTTCAACCGTCTGAAACCGTGTAGACCAAGCAGACAGGCACCGAGGAGAACCCCGCCTTATCTCGATAACCAAAATAACCATGTGTCTTTTTCTCTTGTAGGGACGATTTCGAGGCGGGGAGACCGAACCACTGAAGTCGCTGGGGACAGCTTTTTGGAACCGAGGGGGTCGTGTAGTAATTCGAACTCAAGAGGAGGCGCAAATTCAAAAACTGGTGGCTGCTGAATACTGAAGGCCTAGCTCTTTGTTGTAAATATATACATCTTTTGAACTTACCTGTCGCGTTCTGCTTCTCATCTCACCCCGTGCGCTTGATATCTGATACTGTCTGTGTTGTTCTATTACAATTCACATACATGGAGTGTAATCTTAAAAAATAGCTACGAAGGAAAACGTTTTCGTATATGTTGCAAAAACACCTCCCAGTTTCTGATACCAGTCTTGATTCTCATGTTAAACCAAGTCCCGTAGATAAACTCATCGAGATAACTATATATTATTGCATATCTTAAGAAATGCAATGGATCAATTGATCCATTCACAGATCTGGTACGTTTTTTAGGTGACTTCAAAAACTTTCAATGAAATTAGCGTGAGTTCCATCAAAAGAATTGAGAAAACCATCTGTGTGGTTGACCGCTTGATGAATATAGCCCAGATTTGATAACTGACTGTAACTACTCCATTCATCTGTATAAATAGTTGTCCCAGGCAGCACTAAGCGCTGGATAATAGTACACCTGCACTGAGATTAAGGACCGTTTCAGTATATTTTTTCTGGACGCTGGTGTCATATATCCCCGATACATATTGCTGATTCACACTCAATCTCCCTCGATTGTACAAACGAACGAAATAGGATCTCAAACAGTCTGTTCTCCAAACAGTAATCAAAAAAGGATCCGGAGTGAATTTGCAACGCAAAAGTTGTAGAGCATCCGTAGTTACGGCTGGACTTATTTATCACGTTCTGTTGAAGTTCCGCTTGAAAATGTTTTGCCAAAAAGTTTTAATAAAATTGTGTTATATGTTATCTGGATTGATGGAAATTCCTATTTTTAGCTAGTTATGTTGGCATCCGCGTCATGTGATCTGACTGGGACACACTTTCAGCATATTGGTTGCAATGATTAGCGTTTCAGGCGGACTGTATCAAAATGTCAGTGTAATGAGGAAGATAGGATAGTTAGAGGGTAATGCCATTTACAAAAATCGTTTACTCCATGTAGAAGCTGCACCTTTCTGCATAGTATCAATCAATGAATACTTCATATCTCAGCCCAATTCGACGAAAATGAGGAAAATCGTGTTCAAAATGGGGACACTCCATTGAGTAAAACTGGGGAAAAATAATGGAGAAATGGTAAGATTTTCCTCATTCTCCCGAGAACCTCACTTTGTCCCCATTTTTGTCGCATACTGTCCCCAGAATTCGCAGAATTTCCCCCATTTTATCGCATTTTGTCCCCAGAATTCGCGGAATCTCCCCATTTTATCGCATATTTTCCCTTTAATCCGCGGAATTTCACCCCCTTTACTCATTTATTTTCGCCTTATCTTGCTTACGTCAAACAACTCAAAAGTCAAATAAAGGTTCGTTACGGAAATAAATATATTTGATTTCTTCATTGGTTAAAGGAAAACAGTTAACAAAACTTCGGTAAATTATTTCTTTACGATTAATAAACAGTTACACTTTCGATTAATAAACACAAATAGAATGATTATCTTTTAATACGAAATCTGATTGCAGCTTTACGGTTGCTTCCCATCATCAAGTAGATCCATTGAACTGTCCTAAAAAAGAAGAAACATTAGTGAGTAAGGTAGTAATCCGCATTGACACTTATATATGCAATTGGCATTTTAATAATGATACAGTGAACGCGTTTATTCAGCTTTAAAAATTTACTTAATTACTGAATATAAATAAAATTATTTGTCTATGTAATAGAAATACTCACACTTAAAGACCTTAAGTGTCGGTAAATTTTAACGTTGAATTTTCCGTGCAACATACAATAAGAATTTAGTCATTATAGACAAACTATGTAATGTTGAACCAACTGTCTACACGTAGTTGATATAATTATCAGCAGTAGTTATGATAACGTTGACTATAGCACGCTACTGGCAGTCGTATTATAGATTTTTACAGCATTAACTTAGTTAAATTGTCACTTACAGGAGAGATCCTCTGGTCATTGTTTCCATTGTCAACTGCCACCTGTAAAAAATAAAAATAGAATTTAGTTGATTGATATTTGTACCATGAAATGGTTTGTAGTATAGTAACATTAATTTAACAAAAACTGTTTACTTACTCTTCGCCGGCTCGCCCTTTTTGTTACACGATCACGTATGTCGTGGAAGAAGGCCCTTGCAGTCTTTGTCAAATTTTTCATAAATTCGTCCTCGGTCATTGTAGCACAAACGAACTTGCTGACAATGACGGCTGAAAGAAATATTTAAATAAAGCAAGCTTACACGTTATAACATTATAGAAGTAGCATTTTGTGATGGCTAACTTCTTTGGCGTTCCGAATGCTGTGAAACGATTTGACAGCTTAGGCTCCAGAACATAATTAAGCATTCGTCTCAATGAAAACTGCGGATTGAAAGATAAATTCCCAGCCATTTTCGTCAGCTGAACGTAATGGAAGATTAATTGTAAACTTACGAATGAATCTTTGAATTTCGGGCTTTTCAGTGACGCTTCCAGTTGACTAAACTCTTCTTCAGTTGCCAAGGGAAATTCCAGTTGACTATTGTCAATGGACGACTTCCCGGTTCCCAAGATGGTCACGCCGGTTGACTTATTTACTGAGACCAATTGCGCCACAAGTTTATTAGGGGCTCCATTTCTCATTTAATGCACTGCATTTTGCCTTTAATGGACTGCACTTCTCTTCTAAGGGACTGTAACTCATTGAAAACTTTATTATCGGAAACAGTGTCTTCCTTAGTGCAAAGTAACCATTGATTGGAATTAACATACGTAGTCTGCTGAACTGTCTGTTGGATAGGTGAAGACGTCGCCACTGGGATTTGTGGACTGGAAGTGCTGAAAGAGTAAGAATATTAAATGAAAGCGCTACGTGGCTGTCAGTGCCATCACAGTTTCCATGAAATTGGTGTTTGGGTATTTCGATGGCAAGCACACTTTCTGTGCCTCCACTGCTTCAAGTTCAACTGAGTCATACACGTATAAATTTACAAATCAAATTTATAAATTTGATATCTGTCAAGAGTTTATGTAAAGTCTGCTGGAGTATTCAGTAAAGTAAAAGTTGTAGTGCATAATTCTTAGACTTGTTGTGGTCATTGGTATTGCCAGGATACCACTCACTCGTTTTATGCAGTCGAAATATCCTATTCTCACTTTATTGAGGAAACACTATGTCGCCTGCAAAAGTAGTGCGTCAATTTATGAGTTTCATTAGGCCTACAGAATGTTTTCTATTCAGTGATTAGCGTTTGCGAATTATCTGAGAAAACACATTTCCGAGTGGGGTGTAACACAAGGCTGAATTCTTAAACTGACATCCTTATAACAGTTCAATTCAATCACACATATATTAATAGGATAGTCTGTAATTGACTTTAGAGACTTATCAGGGAATAGTCTCATCAACTTACAGTTTGCTGATGATATCGTCCACTTAGACTATGAGAAGTAACCCCTGATTCTGTGAAATATGAAAATAATACCGGTGTTTGATTATAGGTGTCTGCATTCTATCTCATGAGTAAAGCAGTATAATATGGCGAGAGCTGTTGAGGTTATGCATAAATGTTTAGGTGGGGAGGGTAAGTTAGTCTTCAAGGTAGGGAAGCTGAATAGGTTGAGATGGCTAGAACACGTGCTGGAATATCAAGCCATCGCCTCCCTCGAGGGACAATGCTAGCCATCGGTGTTAAGGTTTAAAATGTGTTTGGGTCGGTCAAATGAAAAACTGGTACTGGTTCATAAAATCGTTGACAGTCAGCTGGAAGAACTGCCAGAGATATGACTGCAAATCTTTGTTACTGGCACAGATGCATTCACTCTGTGTAATCTCACGTATCTATTCAACTAATGTTTTTCCTTGTCACCATTTATTCTCTCTCAGATTTTCGCTCGTTAAACTTCCATTTAGTTTTATGTCTCTACCTTTGTGTGTTACATGGAATGTGGTAAATTAAACAGGTGGACTTCTCTGCAAACTCATACTGAAAGCTAGTCAGAATGCTACATTCTAGGCATAACTAAATGCGAAACATTGATAAATGATCTCCAAAATTTCAACAAATGATAAGTGGAGTTCTTAATCTTGTTCTTTGCTAAATGAAAAATAGATACTTTTCAGTAATCTCTTCTTCTACCCGGGATTCGTCTCCTAATCTGCAAGTGATTTTTTGTGCTTTGTCACTTTTGCGCTAAGCTTTCAGTCAGCATATGCCATTAATGTTGACTCAGGACCTAGATGACTGTGGTTGAATAAGGTTTCGGTCGTGCGAACACTGGTTATGGCCAGTTGATTGAATGAATTAACATTTCTCAAATGGAATGCAGTATACTGTATATTAAGGTGAGTCTTCCGCCTCGCTTGCTGAAGCTGCTGTTCCTCAGGGTATTGTTATCTTTCCTTTTACTTTTTGTCTCTCGTCTTACATTACTTTTCTCTTTCTAAAAAGGGCGATTTCCTCAAATATGCTGGTGATCTGACTTGCTTAACTGGTTCCTGTCTGTAGTCTAAGGTACATGGTCTTACGTTAAATCCTTCTTAATGTCAGGCAGTTGACTTTCCTCTCACCCATAAGCGTGAACTACAAGAACTGTGTCATTCACAAGATGTTTGTTTCAAAGGGGGCACTAAAGGAGAAACTAAGTCTAACATAAAATACCTTGGAGTAGTTCTATCCTCTGGTCTTTCTTGGTCATTCTATATCTTGTCGATTTCCAAGAAAACCTTCAGTCTAGCTTACCACGTTATGTAGTCAAGAAAGTCAGGAATCATTCAACCTCTCTTTTTACAATTTGTCAACTCTTGCATTGGTCTTTACTGCTCCCCCTTATTCTTTCCTGAATTACTCAAAAACGACTATGTTGTATTGTGCAGAGTATTGAGGTTGTCAGTAGGGCAAGAGGTGTACCATTTAGTCAACTCGTTAATGCATTAGTTGAAAGAAATCTTAACTGATGCGAGAAATGGTCTAAATCTATACTGTCTAACCCTCAACATCCCCTCTATTCTCAACTCTTCCCTTTAATTTCATCTGATGGAACCGAAGTCAGTATAAAAAATTATATGATCGGTTTTGGAATTACGTAATTCCAAAAATTGTTGTCGTTTTTATTGTCAGCAGTTCACAGCTTATTGAGTTTACACAAGTACAATGCCCATTTCTCACTTTGCTGAGGAGACATCAACTAGGATTCTAGGAAAGAAGTACGTTAGTATAAGAATTTTATGAATCTGTAGACTGCATTCCATTCACTGAATACCGAAACTAAACTATGAGGGAACTGATATTTCCAAGAAGGATATAATACTAGGCTCATTTCTACAACTGTAGTCCTTATTTTAGTTCACTTTCATCATACGAACGACAGCGTATCATCCGAGTTCCGACGGTATGGTTGAACGCTTTCATCGACAACTCAAAGCTGCACTCGCCGCTTCTTTGACTCAAAACGATTGGTCAACCAAACTTCCACTAGTATTACTTGGTATACGAGCTACTATAAAGAAAGATATCGGCTGCTGTGTTTCTGAACTAGTCTATGGAACAACATTACGATTACCAGGAGAATTTTCACCCCGGGTAACCAAGTTCCACACGATATGACTAGTTACGTGCACCAGCTAAAACGACACATGAACGAGCTAAAGATATCACTTCCACGTCAGCAGGAACAAGCGTTATACATCCCGTCACAACTGACAGACTGCACCCACGTCTTCGTCAGGAGAGAAGGTGTACAACGATCACTTCAACCCGCTTACGATGGCCCATTCAAAGTTCTAAACAGAAACGCGAAAGTTATCACGATAGAAAGATTGAATAAAACAGAAGCCATCAGTATCGACAGAGTCAAACCAGCGTTCCTCGACGATTTCGAAGTCAACGATAAGAACCAGCTGAACGACGTGCCAACACCTACATCTACACAAGCTTCAACGTCGACAGAGAAGCCTGCGAAAACAACACGATCTGGTAGACGAGTCCATTGGCCTAAACGTTACGTGCAAGTCATCGAAATATGACTTACTACGAATTTTCATTTTTACTATCTTTATTCGTAATTGTCATTTGACTACTAATTTAACTGATTAATATTTTCATACATAAATCACGTCACTATTATTTTAACATCGATATTTCCTATATTATTACATTTAATCACATCTCGTATATTATTCACGTATCGTCTTCGTCTACCGACTACAGATCCCCGGACAATTTTATCGTTCCTTATATATTCTATTACGATTAGCAATTTCACTTTCCCTAGATTATCGCATTTATTATCGACGTTATTAACCGCATTAAACTGCTCATTTTTCAGCTTAATAAATCGCCTTCTGTGTACTATCGCTGCTACGTATTACGCTGACGCATGTTATTTTCGAACACTTAGATGTATTTTTTTTATATTTTAGTGTTCTGGTGGGGGAATTATGTAGTACCCCTATACCAACCGTAAACATGCTTTTTAATCTAATTTGTATACTTGCATTATATGTGTATACAGACTGATTTTATATATACTTCGCAAATACTTGTCCATTCACTGTTGAATATTACCTTGACACAATTTCGAATTTGACTACTGCTTCAATACATATTCGTAATCTTCGCAAGTGCCTTTTGATTTACATTGTGGGCGTCGAGTAGCCACAACGTCTGCGCACATCAATAAGAACGAAGAAATACATAGAATATATGTGTACAGCAGTTTAGTCAGACAACGCACGCAACATAGTGTAACACAGCACCATATCCCATCAGGGTGTTCTTTGTGTTTTGCAGGTACAAGTAGAATTCATAGACTGAGCATTTTTTAAATATGGTGGCTCAATTATTGTTAGTATATATGTGATGACTTGGTGCGTTTCCTAGTTTGCCTATAATTACGCAATGTACATTATGTTAAGGAACACAAATGGATTTTGTGAAAACCAAAGTGTTCCTTGTCACTTGCTGAAGCTGCTGTTCCTCAGGGTATTGTTATCTTTCCTTTTACTTTTTGTCTCTCGTCTTACATTACTTTTCTCTTTCTAAAAAGGGCGATTTCCTCAAATACGCTGGTGATCTGACTTGCTTAACTGGTTCCTGTCTGTAGTCTAAGGTACATGGTCTTACGTTAAATCCTTCTTAATGTCAGGCAGTTGACTTTCCTCTCACCCATAAGCGTGAACTACAAGAACTGTGTCATTCACAAGATGTTTGTTTCAAAGGGGGCACTAAAGGAGAAACTAAGTCTAACATAAAATACCTTGGAGTAGTTCTATCCTCTGGTCTTTCTTGGTCATTCTATATCTTGTCGATTTCCAAGAAAACCTTCAGTCTAGCTTACCACGTTATGTAGTCAAGAAAGTCAGGAATCATTCAACCTCTCTTTTTACAATTTGTCAACTCTTGCATTGGTCTTTACTGCTCCCCCTTATTCTTTCCTGAATTACTCAAAAACGACTATGTTGTATTGTGCAGAGTATTGAGGTTGTCAGTAGGGCAAGAGGTGTACCATTTAGTCAACTCGTTAATGCATTAGTTGAAAGAAATCTTAACTGATGCGAGAAATGGTCTAAATCTATACTGTCTAACCCTCAACATCCCCTCTATTCTCAACTCTTCCCTTTAATTTCATCTGATGGAACCGAAGTCAGTATAAAAAATTATATGATCGGTTTTGGAATTACGTAATTCCAAAAATTGTTGTCGTTTTTATTGTCAGCAGTTCACAGCTTATTGAGTTTACACAAGTACAATGCCCATTTCTCACTTTGCTGAGGAGACATCAACTAGGATTCTAGGAAAGAAGTACGTTAGTATAAGAATTTTATGAATCTGTAGACTGCATTCCATTCACTGAATACCGAAACTAAACTATGAGGGAACTGATATTTCCAAGAAGGATATAATACTAGGCTCATTTCTACAACTGTAGTCCTTATTTTAGTTCACTTTCATCATACTTTGCTGCACGTTCAACTGTTTCATACACGTAATGTTCGGAATTCTTTGTGCTATCTTTGAATTCGCTCATTAACCGATAAGAATAATTTCCCTTTGAATTTCGGGATTGGTTATTGGTTATGTCTCGTCGAGATTATCTGAGTTAGACAGTATACTGTTTGTTCGTTTGGCAGTCAGCAAAGTGCTCTTTGCTTCTAGGAAAGAGTTTAATTACGGGAATGTATTTATTACGGAAACAGTTACCTTGCTCAGCTAACATTTGACAGTCAAGCAACAGCCAATCCTGTCTAGGTCTTATGCATGCTTCAACTTCAGAATCTGTTACACTGCTCTGATACAAGCACATGCCATCCGAAGGCATCCAGTTTCTGGCAGTTATGAATAATTCTTCTGAACCCGCTTTCCGTAACACAACATAATCCTTCTTTTCTTCTGCAAGAAATAAAAATTATGACATAAACAGAATTTACTGTCTTACTAGTCCGCTTGCCATTGAATGCAGGAATGCCGACGGTTGACGCAATCAATCTAAGCAGTTTCTGGATAAGTACGAGGCAACGGCACTTCTGTACGAATACAGAAGCACTTACAAGTAATATCTGAAGGAAGAATTTCTAGGTGGTATGGGCTAACTCTGGAGCATTTCCAAATCCCAATATGGGATGATTTAAATAGCTCGGCGAAGAAATCACAAGCGTCTACATAAGGTGTAAATGTCAGTCCTTCCTTGTGTATCTGCGTTATGAGACCCCGTCTACCGTAGGCTATGACGAAGTTATCAGGTGAAGAGGAAGTGATAACTGTACGCCGGGTGTTAACTATTAACCTATCTGCGTCTACTTCCCATTGGTTTATAAAGTTACCGTGTAGCGCTTTGAGTTGCAGTCGTGAAAAACCTTTTCTGCGAATCTTTGTGCCGCTTGCTTAGCGATTGCAATGTTCGAATGTAAAGATCGCCCGATTGTCTGCATATAAGATTCATATGCGAACGCCGAAAAAGATTCTAACGGTCCCGTTTCATTGACATCTTTATCCAAGTGTTGCGGACAATGGATAGTATAAACGAGGTGCTCCTTGCCATATATCACTCCGAACTCATTGAGAAAGTTGAGTAACTCAACTCTGCAACCTTCCAAGTAATTTCGAAAAAACTTAGAGTGAGACAGAAGGTAAAATGCAAGACTCAGTCTTCGGAAGTTGCGGTATACTGCCAATGGCATAATGTCCTTGAGTAAAACTGGTCCTAGGTAGAGGAGGAAGAGGCGACATTCAGTGGCTTTCCACCGACTAACTTCGATGAGCCCCCTACATTTTCTCGGGAAGTCCCTGGGTGTCATTCTAGCACAAGGTAATATCCTCCCGTCAATATTTTCAAGCCTGAGCCGGGTGACGTGCATCTCATTTTTTTAGCTAAGTCTTGCTAGAGACTTATAAGCTTTCTAACTACCCCTAAACAGACTAGGTGCATTGGGTCAATATGGAAGCATTTAACCATATCAATGTTTAATTCCTCAAAAATACACTGTCCACGGTGGTGACTTGATTGCATCCTTTGATGGAAGCTGTCATCATTTCGGATTGGAAAAATCCATTTGGAAATGTTATTCTTTCGTCAAATTTCATTCCAGTAACTGCGGATTTATCGCAGCCTGAGCTGGCATGATGACCTACTATAAATTTCAAGTCTGCTCTAGCCGGTGCATCACAGATGACGGCTTTCAAACGAACGTTGAAATGCCTATTAAGTCTGGTAAGGTGTATCCCTTGACTTAATATATCCTTTAGTTCAGATACTAAGTCATTGCATAACTCTTCATAACTGCTGGGTTTTGTAGGATCACCGTATATACCTATCATGAACACACTACTTAGGAACGGTGGCGTAATTCTTCCTAACAGGGGCCATAACTGCTGGTTAGAAGACTTCGAGATGGACAATCCGTCGACATTCAACTGCAGATCAATCATGTTGCAGAGACTTTCAACCACAGACGACATCTCCATGTAGTGCTGCAAACATTTCTTGAGACCGATGTGGCAATACATTCCATCTCCAAGCAGTCTAGACTCGCAAGAGCCACACATTCTCAGTACACTTCTAACGGTTGTTGGTAGTTGAGGCAATTTCGCAGGGAAGATCTCCAATGTTCTGTTAACGGCTGCTTGTGATATGTTCGTGGTCACCAGGATATTGAGTAGCATACTTGTCATTTCATCACGTTCAGAAGAGACTTGTGCACATTTGCGAAGTACTAGCATCTGGTGTTAGGCTGCTGCACGGTGGCCATGGCACTACGTCGGTTTCATTGGTCATACCATCAGTGTTCACTGAAGAGGGCTCGACTTCAACAAGAAGGACAGCATGTGTGACAGCCTCCGTTGACGTCGACGCCGCCCTGATCTCGGCCGTTACCTGCGTTTATACCTTCTGTAAAATGTGGCGTAATGGCAGGTCAATTGTAGGTTACGCTCACGTAATCTTTTCAGGCTTAATATAGGGATTTAGAGTTAGACTGGGAGAAAAATTGAAAAAGGTCCACAGCGACCACCTACCTGCATCGTTAACAGTTTAAAAGTGCGCGCACAATATGTGACTGTAAGCAAACAAACCGAAAAAATTGGTTACGCTTCACCTAACATTGACCGAAGACGTTTCAGCAAACTACAATGATTGGTCATTAAACTTTTAAATTATTCTATAGGAAAGTGTCCAATTAATTGTACTACGGAAAATGCATCACTTAATTCATGCGTTTTCTTCAATTGAAGTAGTGGTGAAGTATTTTCTACCTACACCTTTTGCTACTTACAATTTATCAGTAGCCTAGCGAGTAAAGTAAAATTTTTCACTGTTTTCCCACTTTATCCCCTTTATTCGGATTTTCTCCCCTTTTTAAGATATTGTCCCCAATTTGTCCCCATTATGAGGATTTCTTCCCCATTTTCAAAGATACTACACCCATTTTCCCCAAAATGTCATTATTTTGTCCCTACATTTGTCCGATTGGGAGGATATTAACTCAGCCTATTTTCGTGTGAAGAACAGTCTTTTTTGACAAAGTAATTCTCTCAGTACTTGGAAATCAAATGTAAATGCTATCAGAATCGTCTATGGGAACCTAAGTTATGATTTAGATGTGCTTTTCACTCTATTGGTGGTTGGACAGGAATTTTGGTAAGTTGAAAGGTTATCTCTCAGTGGATTTCATATATATTGGCACCGATTGGTGCAGTGTGCTATGGGTTATGTGAATTAAATGTGCAAAAATATCTCAACTTTATTAATATTGTGCCATTGTTTACTTCGCTGGCTGATAGGATAATAAACGTAGGTGGTTGTCACGATTGTTGTAAGTACAGTGCAATGGAGAAGGCAATTACTCGTTTGAATTTCCTTGCTGTTCCAATTAATGCACTTATTCATTACACGGTATGATTATACGCATGAGTCGTGGTGATTATGAGAGCTGAATCTATTCAGCTTTACTATCATTATTATGAATCTATTGTCTGTTTTATAATTTCCACTGACAGTGTATACCTAATGCCGCAATATTTTTGATCGCCAATAGTGGAGATGAATTTCTCCTGAGATTTCCATTTAAACAAAGCAGTACAGATATGGTATCACGATTGAATTTTCTAGGTTGCCTGATATGTCATTATTATCCTCATCAGCTGAACAGGTCTGTGTATTTTACAATAGTTTCAGTGTTTCCGTATGTTGTTAACACTGTGCATAGCTGTTTAGAGTTGAGGCATGTTCAGCTTATATTTGATGGCTATAGTCTCCTAAATGTGAGAATGTGATTTCTGTAGGATTCACAAAACTTTATGGACTAGACATTACTGAGATTGTGGATTAATTTCTAAATAACACATTTACAATACTTTATTTCATGTAAGAGTATTTAGTGTGAAGTTGATCTGTAATTAAGCTTGATGAGAGAATGACGCCTCAATAGTATGGATGTTTCGGAGATTGTCTTGAAATTTGCGTATAATCCTCTAATACTGAAAAACATATGATGTCTATTTATGTATTCGGCGTCAACATAAAAAATCAGCTGTAGACTACAAATACATTTATCTGCATGAGATATTACTTAGTAGTGGCAGCGTAATTGTATTCATAGTATATGCTAATATGTAGAATTATCTCTTTTAACTTCATGTTGCGCTAAATCTTACATGTACTTAATTTTTTCAGGTATACGGAGGTTGTCGAATATGAAATCAGCAGAAACATCATTCGGTGAAACTAACGCTTATACCCTTCATCAGAATTTCCTTTTGTAAATTAATCAAATGTTTAATATACTCTCGATTTGTAATTCCGCTGGACTATTTTTTCAATTGGTTGCCATACTGTGTGCTTTTGTATTAAGCGAATAAGGAATAATAAACGCTAAGCTGATTTAGTGGGATGGAGATTTACTGTAGTATTATGAGACTGTTACTTTAGTCATTAATAGGATTTCGTGTCTGTTTCTACGCAATAGCACATTGTAAAAGCTAAGTGGGATATAGCAAGTTGAGTAATAATTCTGTACTGCAAATGAACCTTGTCGGCCCAGGGATTAATTACTTCCCCATTCTGTTTCCTATATAAATGTATTTATTAATGATATATTGCACTTTCCTATTTCATTGCACTTTATTGATTCACCTTAGGTCTTTTACTTTTCTAGGACAGCTTTCAATCCCTTGTAAAAGTTGTACTTACCTCAATATTGGTTGGTTACCGTATGCCTACAACTACGGGATGAAAACGATTTTCCCGCTCAACCTGGAGGACGACTGTACAATTCAATAACTAAACGCCCTGGCTCAGACAATGAGTGTATTTATATATACATATATATCAAATATTTAACTGTTGAAACATAATTAACTTGCAGAGAATCTAAGATTTGACATTATATCATACTTGATCGTGCCTGTAAAAATGGCATGAATTTTCATGTAAATTTATGTTTATATGAAAACATTAATTATTATTATAGTACGCTAAAGTCTCCTTATCTAGCCTGTTGCAAGTCTGTATACTGTTAAACGCCAAATATGTAGTACAAGTAAATGTAGTAACTTAGGGTTGATAGCTACTTCCCTAATCTGTTAGTATGCAGTGACATCATCAAATAGACTGTTCACTTGACAGTGAGCTAAGAAACAATTTTTATTTATTTCTAATATGCCGTTGAATCATAGGATGTTATCTAATATTCATCATTTCTATGATCAACGACTGAGGTATTTGCATATCAACTCTATGGATATTAAATAACTTACGCCTTTATGAATCTAATTACCTCCAGTTTTCCCTATTCATTTGATGTATGTACACTAAACAGGACTTTCGTAAATTGTCCCACAAATGCCAAGGTTTCTGGTGTCACAAGTGTTAATAATAGTTGCTTCCTTGGTTTCAG